TCGCATGAATAAGATTCCATATGCATCTGCAATAGGATCTATCATGTATGCCATGTTATGTACTCGACCAGATGTCTCGTATGCATTAAGTGCAACGAGTAGGTACCAATCTGATCCCGGTGATGCTCACTGGGTAGCTGTCAAGAATATTCTTAAGTACTTGAGAAGGACTAAGGATTCATTCTTGATATATGGAGGTCAGGAAGAGCTTGATGTAATTGGTTACACTGATGCTAGCTTCCAGACAGATAAGGATGATTTTAGATCACAATCTGGTTATGTGTTCTGTCTCAATGGTGGCGCTGTGAGCTGGAAAAGTTCAAAGCAAGAAACAGTTGCTGATTCTACAACTGAGGCCGAGTATATTGCTGCCTCAAATGCAGCAAAGGAAGCTGTTTGGATCAAGAAGTTCATTAGTGAACTTGGCATATTCCCTAGCATTGTGGATCCCATTGGTTTATATTGTGATAACAATGGTGCTATCGCACAAGCTAAGGAGCCTAGATCTCACCAACGATCCAAACACATACTTAGGCGTTATCACCTCATTCGAGAGATAATCGATCGGGGAGATGTGAAGATATGCAGAGTACCTACACTTGACAATATCGCTGACCCATTAACAAAGCCTCTTGCGCAACAGAAGCATGATGGTCATACTAGATCTATGGGTATTAAGGGTATGCCTAATTGGCTCTAGTGCTAGTGGGAGATTGTTGGTGTAAGCCCTAGAGGCCAATACTTTTTGGTACTTGTATCAGATTATTCGTTTAATAATAAAAGGCATTTCTTTATTATGTTTGTCTTTCAGAATAATAAAGTCCCTAGAATAGTTAGTTTGTTTAATGAAATGTTAAGTGTGACTTAATCATGAGATCCCATTAAACATAAAGACATTATTCTTAAAATATCCGTAGTCAAGCTTTATTGCAAAGTGGGATAACATTAAAAGCATTGAGACTATTATGAAGATAGACTGATGATCACATCTCATGGATCATGGATAAAGAGTTATCAAGTCTTGACATAGGTATAAATATTAGGAGTAATATTTATACCGGATTGACCCGCTATGAGAATACTACATAGTATGTTATGCAAAGTGTCATAAGTTATTCTCATGGTGATAATGGTGTATTACCACCCTTCGACCTGAAACCACTATGGACCCTAGATGTAGAGTCGGGTGCTTTATTGCTGATCAAACATTATCCGTAACTGGATGATCATAAAGACAGTTGATGGGCACTCCACGAAGCATGCTGAGGGACATGAGTGTCCTAGATGGAATTTGCCAAATCCTGCATAACAGGAGAAATGTCTAAGGGCCCAATATTGAACTGGACAAGGATGACACAGTGTATGCCTTGTGTTCAATATAGACATAGGGGCAAAAGGGTAATTGTACAAACATATATTATCACGAAAAAGGTTTTGTCAGATCACATGACATTTTCGTGACTTGGGTAGCAGTGATGTGTTGCTAGATACCGCTTACTGTTTATTATGTTAAATATATAATTTAATATAATTACCAACGTTACGAAATCCTACAGGGTCACACACATAAGGACAGTTTGATGAGAGATAGAGAAATCAAAGGAACACCGTAAGGTACGGTGCACTTAAGTGAAAAATAGAAATTCGGATAATATAATAATAATTATTGTTATTTTATAATGGTTATAAAATAATAATAAAATAAATATATTTATTATAATAATAGTTATTATAATAATATATAATATTATTATGGATCATGTGAATTGAGTTTTTAGCCCGCAGCCCACAAGAGAGTCTATAAAAGGAACCCTTGTGATGAAGCTTTCACTTGATGCAATTTCGTTTTTGATTCTCTTTTCTCACTCAAATAATTCCGTTCGTAAGCAGCTAGAACTGTGACCGGAAACTGTTCGTGTGGACTGAGTAGAGGCGTTGCACTTCATCAACGCTTGTGATCGCTGCATCAAAGATCTGAATCGCCACAAAGAGGTAACGATTCTATCACTGACCATGCTCATTCGTAAGGATCACTAAAGGAAATTTTTGTTTTCCGCTGCGTTTAGATCGCAAAAAACCTTCAATTTCAATCCCTGCCTACAGCTGCCATCAACTGCCCACCATAATCTCTTTTTAAAAAACAAGCATCTAGTCCAATAAGTGGTCTGCAATAACAAGTAAAACTAGCCTTGCATACCTCTAGGCAAATGTATATTCTCTCAAAAACTGGGCCATCACTAGAATCTGAGCATTTCAACACAATGTTACTATGAGGGTTGAACTTAAGTAGCTCATTTGCATAAGTTTTTAGATGTGTAAATTGGTCCCTTCCTGCACCTTGAATAATATCCATTGCTCTTCTCTTATCTCTATAAGCCTGGTCAGATGATAGTTTGACACCCCACTTATCAAAGCCAAAGCAACTAGACCAGCTGGTTTCAAATCAGGAGTATGCCTTAGTATATGGCTAAACTGCTTGCCTAACCATCCAGTTTTTGCTTGTCTATTCTGTGTTGTTCTATGACAATCATGCTCATCATATAAACTCGCCACTTGCCAATATTGGTTGCCAACCGTTTTACCAATTCTCATGTAGAACTTACGTTCATCAATACACCTAATAACCATCCTCTTTGCATCATTCTTCTTTAGATACACATTCTTTTTTTCCATCATAACATACTCCTTTATGACTTCCCTTACCAAATCCTTGTTGTTAAATATCATGCTTAATTGAAATTTGGTTCCCTCACCAACCTTATATGTAGGAAACCTCTCATACTCTTCATCATCTTCACTCTCAGGTGGTGTTTGCAGTTGGTCAGATCTTCACCATTATCATGGTGAAAGTCATTGTCATTGACATGTGGTTTAATTGTTTCAGTTGGAATTACAGTTACGCAATCCAACTCAGGTTCACTCTCCAACTCATGTTCATTGTCATCAATATCATCACCTACTTCAGCATCATTATGCACATCAACACCATCACCCACTTCAGCATCATTATCTACATCAACACTATCACCTACTTCAGCATCATTATCCACATCAACATCATCCCCTACTTCAGCATCAATATCCACTTCAACACCATCACCTACTTCAACATCCATATCCACATCAACACCATCACCCATTTCAACATCAATATCCACTTCAACACCATCACCCACTTCAACATCAATATCCACTTCAACACCATCACCCATTTCAACATCATTATCCACTTCACCTACTTCAACATCATCAACTACTTCAGCATTATTGTCTACTTCCACCTCATCATCAACAAATTTCTCACCAGTACATTGAACCTCATCATCATCAGAAGTTATGTCATGTCCTACTTCTGCGTCATCTACAATGTCAGGTACACTTATATTATGCTCAACATACAAATCTACTACCTCACATCCATCAACATCCCTAATTAGTTGCAACACATCACCATCGCCGTTAATCTTTCTAAGGCCACGAGTAAAACTATAGCTAGGGTTCCAATACCAAATACACATAATGTCTTTATACCCCTCTTTTTTAATCAATTCTAATAACTCAAAATAGGACAGGTAGTCAACATCCCATTTCCAATTCATTTCTGAAATTAACCCAGCAACATACAGTTTCACAGGGGTGTCCACAAAATAACCTCTATGATGAACTCTAAACCTAATTTTTTGAGTTTGTGATGGCCTGTAATACATGTTAAATACAAGTCAGAAAAAGGAAGACACACAAATCAACATAACCCAAATGGGACCACAAGCCCTAAACGACAAAGGAACACAAACCCTAAAATGACTGGGACCACCATGTGAAAAAAAACACAAACCCTAAAACGAAAACGATACGTTTCTATAACGGGGGACAAAATACTGCATACTTGATACAAAACTTCTCCTCTTCATTGCTTTTCGCTGTCGTTGAAGGAATTTTGTCCATTGCTTTTCTCCTCCCAGACAACGTGCTAGGGCTTTGAGTGAAGCAATTGGGGAAGCTACGTAGCGAATTCTTGAAGACGATTTCTAGGGTCACAGATTGCAAATGGGAGAAGATACACATTTTATTCTTTTATGAATGGGGAAGATTGAAACTTATTTGTTTAAGTTAATGAAATTTTTTATTTTATTTTAAATGTTTATAAAAAGTAAATATATTAAATTTTTAATGATATGACAATGTTATTTTCAGCCTGAGTTAACATCTACTATGCCACATCAGCGCTGACCATGCCACATAATTCAAACTGAAGTGGAGATCAAAAAAATCCTAAAATAATTCAAAGTGAGAGACTTAAAAGTTGAATTTTTTTTAAGAAGGCTTAAAAGTTTAGAAAAACATAAGTTAGGGGATTAAAATTGCATTTAAAACTTTTTTTTAAAATTAGAACGCCTTTAGAGTCTTATATGTAGACTTTATTTCAATTGACACCTCTTAGAGTCTTGAGTGCAAACGCCAATCGGTTTTCTAACGCCTTATATATGAGTTGATTTTTTTTGTTTAAAAGATGAATAGATTGACAATAATGAATAAAAAATGGTTAGTTTAGAGTTAAAAGTTGGAAAACGGTAAAAATTTCAATAAGATGCTTTAAAAATTAGCAATTAAATAGTAATTATATATTTTTAATTAAGTGAGTATGTGACAAAGACTTGAACAATCTTGCTTCAAGACTTCCACTTCTTGTAAATGAGGGTTACCCCAAATCATCATTCAAAGCTATCTTAAGCTAATTAAGGTTAGAAAAATCTCACTTTTACATTCACATACTCATTTGTTCAATATTTTCTGTTGTTTATGGATGAATATAGTTGTTATAAATGAACTGATCTTGGGGTTAAAAACATGCTTATGAGATCTATATTGAAAATGATCTTGGTATTTTAGTATATCACTGGAATTGAATACCCTTATACGTTAATAGTTTATAATTTCATTTGAAACAATTTGCAGTTACTGATATAGTTTATGAAAAAGAATTCATCACCAGAAGAACAATGTCCAAGTTTGGAACCTCATTATTGGTTCCTTCTGTACAAGATCTTGCAAAGCAAATCAACACAAAAGTTCCAGAACAATATCTTCATCCAAATCAAGACCCTATTGTTGTATCAAATACAACTTCTTTACAACAAGTCCCACTCATCGACCTGAGTAAATTGTTATCCGAAGATGAACTTGAGGTAGAGAAGCTAGATCATGCTGGTAAAGAATGGGGGTTCTTCCAGGTTTGAACTATTTTTTCCACAACTGTTTAAAAATTGATTCAGCAGAAAATTGTAGACTTGTATGACAGATTCAATGTTAGCATGGTCGTCTTTGAAGATCTGCAAGGCAGGATACCGCACATGATCCAAAATTTATCACAGTTAAACTGTGGTTAAGTAGAATCTCATAAAATATTTGTCAGGTTAAATCCTGATTAAATAGGACATCTATATGTTTTATCATGGCTAAACTGTGGCTAACCTATACAGAGCCTCTAAAATTTTTAGAGGGATCCGAATGTCAGCTACGAAAATTTACTTGTTAATGCAGTTCAATACTCTATATAGTTATTGTACTTTTATTTTATTAATTTTGTAAGATTTTCAAAAAAATGAACTTGAGTGCAGCTGATTAATCATGGAGTCCATCCTTCAATAGTGGAAAATGTGAAGATAGGTGTTTGTGAGTTCCTAAGTCTTCCGGCAGAAGAGAAGAAGAAATTTTGGCAAACCCCTGACGACATAGAGGGTTTTGGTCAATTGTTTGTTGTATCTGAGAATCAAAAGTTAGAATGGGCAGATTTATTCTTCATGGCGACTCTTCCTTCGTCTGCAAGGAATCCTCGCTTATTTCCTAATATTCCCCAACCATTCAGGTTTTATAGCTTTTTTCTCACTTCATTTTTGTTTGCTAGCCACAATGTTAATCGAGGATCGCAAAATTTAGTTGTGTTCGAATTTTGCAACCTATAAGTGCTATAGTGCTGTTATAGCGGTTGTTTGACAATATTTTGTACTAAATATCGTATCGCAGAACAATAGTGACATGTTTAAACTCTACTATTGGTGCCAGTTAACAATACCTGCTAACTATCAAATTTCCTCTAAATTAATATTATTCTTCTGTCACAGACACCAGAAACACGATACCGACACTGATACGTCGACATCAATAATAATTTTAAAAAAATGAATAAATTAAACGTAATCACAACCGTCAGTGTTGGTTTCGGACACAGACATAGATACAGACACACCTTTTTTTTCCATAAGTGTCGGTGTTATATAGCAGATGAGTGATTAGAACTATATTCCTCTAACCAACTTTGTTTCAAATTGCAGAGATGATTTAGAGACCTATTGTTTAGAGTTGAAGAAAGTTTGCATCACAATCATCAAACATATCGAAAAAGCTCTTAAAGTTGAACCAAATGAAATGCTAGAGTTGTTTGAAAATATAAATCAATCAATGAGGATGAATTTCTACCCTCCTTGTCCACAACCAGAAAATGTCATTGGACTGAATCCTCATTCTGATGCCGAGGCCTTAACAATCCTTCTACAAGCCAATGACATTGAAGGTCTCCAAATTAGGAAAGATGGACAATGGATTTCTATTACACCACTCACCAATGCTTTTGTCGTAAACGTCGGAGACATTTTAGAGGTAATTGATAGAAAATTAGTCATATATATTGTCTTATTATTTTACCCTTTTAAGTGTTCTTATGAGTGTCTAATGGTTGTGCAGATTATGACAAATGGAATTTATCGGAGCATCGAACATCGAGCTACAGTTAACTCAAAGAAAGAGAGGATTTCTATTGCTACATTTCACAGACCCCAAATGAGCAAAGTTATAGGTCCAACACCGAGTCTTATCACTTCTGGAAAGCCTGCATTGTTCAAAACAATTACTATGGAAGATTACTACAAAGCATTCTTTTCGCGCAAGCTACTAGGGAAATCATGCCTTGATGTTGTGAGAATCCAAAATGAGAATGATAAGTGATAAAAGTAGTAAACGACTATTTGGCTTTTAATAAACATGTTCTGTTAAAACAGTTACACCATATGTGGTAGGTATCAAAGGAACGATAATTCAATAAAGTGGATTTGTAAATATCATGAGAATCGAATATTATATTCTCGAACTCGATGGGTAATATATGCCTCTGAAGAGTTCCCTGGCATTGGCAACAAATACTAATTCGTTTCATGCATGGTGTAATTCAACTTAATTATCATGTTGTTTTTGTTACGAGACAAGTGAATATGGTTTTCATATCGTTATGATGGCATCGGAATCTTATGCTAATGTTATGTTTTCTTGATATTTCTGATTATTATTCAAAAGTTTTATAAGTGACACGGATTAGTTCTGTTTTCACTAAAAAACGACTAGTCAATTCATTGCAGATTGAGGTATTTAAGTAAATAGTAACTCGAAGTTCTATTATTAAAGATTTTGGAAGAATAAGTATATACTTTGCAATTACAATACATGCAATTTTCTCTCTATTGTAAGTTACTTACAGTTCTAATATGCTACCAAAAAGTGCAATAATGCAGAAGGAAATCATGCAGAAATATACCATAAAAATGAAGGAAACAAAAGAAAAAGAAAAGCTTCTATGTGAAGCCAAAATGCACTTGTGGAAAATTTGGCTGTGGATACAAATTTTCATCAAAGATATTAACAGCACAAGGACCTGAATTAGAAGTCCAACCATGGTGGTTAGGATGATCAAACCCTTGTTTAGGTGCTTCAAAATTTCCATTGACATGATAATTATCTAATTGGTTTTCATGTGGAATATTACTATTATTCATCCCTGTTGTAGCTGGTTGAAGCTTCATATCATTCATTATGTTGAAATTGTTTGGAATGTATGAAAACTGTCCAGTGAATGGCAATCTCACAGGAGCTGCTGTAGTATTATTGCTCATGTCACTAAGAACACAATTTTCTTGACCGGAATTTGATATGTTTGGTTTGGTGCTTGAGCCAAGATAACTTGCATAGCTTCCAAATGATGAGCTTGTTGAGCCTTCTACATCTCTAAAAGATAGAAAGGAAAATAAGTTTGAATAGTAGAGTTAGAGACAACATCTGAAAGGTATCATGTGTTAATAATGACTTCATTCATCAGTTCCAGTATGATATTGTTTGCATCTGATATAGCTGAAACATTTTTAAATATAATGTCTCACATCTTTAAATATAATGTCTCACATCTGATATGGTCTAAACATGTACATATAAGTGAGAGCAATGCTCACCCTACAAGTAATTTTTATAAGGATGAATAAAGTTCAACCACAACTCTTAACATGATATTAAGAGTCTGGTTTAAAGATTGTTGGCTATCAGGTTTTTGCTATCTGACCACGTACAAGTCGGTTTTGTAGGGATGAGTAAGGTTCAGTCACAATGTTTAACATGGTATCAAGAGTACGTTTTAAGATCCGTTGGACCAACTGCTATCGGACTACGGACAATTTGCATCCACGATCTAGATGTCCAGTTCTATCGGGCTACCGACAATTTGCATCCACAATCTAGATGTCCAGTTCTAGGCGTGAGGGGTGTGTTAAAAATCTCATACTGGACAATATAAACGGGACAATTTTTACCCTACAAGTTGGTTTGAACAATTATATCGCCTGAGCATCAGTAAGGTTCAATCACAATGTTTAACATGGTATCGAGAGTCTGTTTTAAGATCCGTTGGATCACCTGCTATCAGATTTTTTCTATTAGGTTACCGACCATTTATATCCACGATCCAGATATCCAGTCCTAAGCGCGAGGGGTGTGTTAAAAATCTCACACTGGACAATATATTGCCTGATCATGTGCTTATAAACGGAGAAATTCTTACCAGACAAGTCGGTTTGGACAATTATATCACCTGAGCATGAGTAAGGTTCAATCACAATATTTAACATGGTATTAAGAGTCCATTTTAAGATCTGTTGGACCACCTGCTATCAGGTTTCTACCGTCGGACTACCGACCATTTATATCCACAATCCAGATGTCCAATCCTAGGCGTGGGGAGTGTGTTAAAAATCTCATATTGGACAATATATCACCTGAGCATGTACTTATAAACGAGGCAATCCTTACCCTACAAGCCGGTTTGAACAATATATTGCCTGAGAATGTGCTTATAAACGGGACAATTTTTACTCTATAAATTGCTTTTGTAGGAATGAGTTTTAACCATAATTCACTATCATCGGCCTTAGAAATTTAAACATCAAGGAAAAACAACTTACTTGTGGAGAAGCAAGTTTGGTTCTTCAGGAAGTACTACTATATTCTGACTATCACCATTAACCATCCATGGAAGAGATTGAAATTGCTGTTGAGTACTCATTTTATAGGGAACATGCAATTCATTGAACTACAAGATAGAGATATTTCAGAAGTGCTTTTTTATTTCTATATCATTATAATTTAGAACAAGCTTAAAGAAAGGGGAAAGTTAAATGTCATGAAAGTTATTTATTTACCTGGTTATTACATTGAAGTGACGCTAGTTGTTGTTTTTGTACAATTTCCTATCAAATTATGCAGCGTTAACCAATAACTCAAATGCAATGTTAATCAATAATCAACTTTTAACAAACTTATTAACTAAAAGTTTAGAACCTTGTGAGTATGAATTTGATTAAGGGACTCTTTGAGTGAATTTTCCAGCTGTCCTAATTCATCCACACCACTAATTTTCTCAATGTCACTCCAATGTCTGCAAAATCCAACAAAAACTTGTTCTTAAAATTTGCTTGCATCTATAAGATATTAATTAGGACATTTCATTATAATTAGTTATTAACACGAAACTATAGATTATACAGATATAAAAATAAAAACGACCTTAGTCGCTCGTGTATTTGAGAGATACGGGTATGTAATAGCTTAGCTTGATCATGCAAATCCTGCACAAATCATATTAGTGAAGAACATAACATTCAAACAGAAAATGAAAAAGAAAAGAAAAAAAGAAAGTAAAAAGGAGATGTGTACCTCAACAGTTTGACTACTGTAACAAAAAAAACAGAATAAATTAGTTGCAAACTCTCGAGTTCTCGATTCAAGCAGTTGAACCAACCAGTTCAGTTAGATTTTAAAAAACACTGTTAAATTAGTTGTAGCAGGCATACCTTGTACCATAAAAGTCTTGAATAACGACATCATGATCTAACTTCTTAAATGTTTTCTTTAGTGCCTGAACTCTCAAACAAAAGACCATTTCTAAGAATGAGTAGGAGGAAATAACGAATGCTTTCAAACCATTTGGAAGAAAATGACTTACTTCAAGACTCTCCAATTTTCTGTTAAATACAATTGAAAAAAATGTATCAAATTCTTATATAAACATGATATAATTAACTGTCTAAATAATTTGGCTTATGTGAAAGGTTTTTAACTGCACCTCTTTGCCCTTTCTTGTGAGGTTAGTTGAATAAACTTTGTCATCACCTCCTCAAAGTTGCTACATAATCAGACATGTCGACACCGATAAGAATTAAAAAAAGTTAAATTAATTAAACAAATTGAAATGTGTCGGACACCTGAGACGCCTTTCATAACAAGTGACTTACCTGCGTCTCCCTGCGCATAAGGAAGGTTTTCCACCGGGAGAAAACATGAGAAGTATAATATCTATATCACACAATATAGATAATTCACTAGCTTTCTTCATTATTCCATTCTTCCTTTTTGCATAGGTTGATTGTCGACCATTTGTGTTCTCCAACCTCTTTATCTTTAGTTTCACCCTCCCCATTCTACAAATTCAACCATAACATGCAACATGAGAAAAAGGACAAACAATACACGTGAAATGTGAGATAGAATTAAGAAACAAACTCGTACGATGAATGAATAGTGAATTTGAAATGAGAGTTGAAGGATTGAGAAACAAAAATATTATTGGGCAACCGAAGGATTTAATTGAATGATAGCGATAGGTTTTATTGAGAATGGATGATGATGATGGTGAACACTAGAGGGTGACCAGAAAAATTGGTCATATGAAGCGTGCGAGAGAATAGGGGCTGTTACAGATTTCGTTTGATTTTCCCATGTCACCAGCTTAGTATTACCAACAATCTTAACAACACAAACCTATTTCACTTGTGAATTGTGGCATTCTCAATATTATAAACCATGCAATTCTAAAACCTTCTCATGTCCTACCATCATCGTATCATATATATATATATATATATATATATATATATATATATATATATATATATATATATATATATATATATATATATATATATATATATATATATATATATATATATATATATATATATATATATATATATATATATATATATACCAAATGTTAACAAGATACATTTAATTCATTTAATATAAAATTATCCCTACATTAATTATTTAATATTGTTATTGGATGACAATTTAATTAAGAGTATATTAGTAATTATGTTATCTATTTTACATGAAAGCAAGAAAAATTAAATGTACTTAACTATCATTTTTAATAAACAAATAAGCATGAAAGTTGTCTTTTTTGTTTATAAATAAGGCCGACGGCCAAGACCCAATCCACTCCAAAGGATCCAACATATAAAAGCTTTCATACTAGACACTCAAGACACACTTTCTAATCTTCACTTTTTATTATATTCATCTTGAATTTTGAATTGACTTGGACATTGGAGTGCTAACCTAGGTCCACATACATGCTGCCATATCAGAGATTAAGCCGCTGGTTTAGGATTCCTCATTATCAACGTACACCTTCTGGTTCCAGAATAAAATAGTGGTGTCATCTTTGAAAATTGACTCCTAATTTTCGCAAAATTCCATAAGTATATCATCTTTGTTCCAAAGTCAGATTTCTACCAAAATGAAAATAGAGTCAACAACTTTGTTCTTCACATCAGAGGATCATGTTAATAATTTTGGATCTGTCATGCCTCCATTATCAGCTATTGACAAGATCTGCAACGCCGCACATC